AAGGATCAAGATGTCCTTAGTCCTCAGAAATCCAGGCTCACTTCCATGAAACTCTTTTGTGGGAGGTAGGGCATGGAGATGGGTAAGGTGTTTGAGACAGGGTCTTGCTCCATAGCCCAGTCTGGCGTTGCAATCCTCCTGCCTCTACTTCCCTAGTTCTGGGACTGCAGTTGTACACCACTGTGCCCAGCTTGCTCTCTCTCTCTCTCTCTCTTAGAAAATGTAGACAACATTTTCTTTAATTGCACTAAAAGCTTGATGAAATGTGAAACAGTTGTCTACAATTCACTATGTTTTCTGATTCAGTTATAAGAAAAAGAGACGAATGAGCACAGCCAAGTTAATAACATCAGGTTGTCAAACATAAAAATATCTACCATTAATAACTTCATAACCAGTGATGTAAACACTAGACACTCAGTCTGGGGCTTGTTGTCAGAGCCTGGGGAATACAAGACTGCTCATGATTTTTCTCAGCCCAATTTATGTTTTTAGAGGCCCCGACTCCTGAAGAGTTCAAAGTATTTTTCAACATAGAATTCAAAAATGCTAAAAATAGTCCCGATCGATCTCTCCTCCCCACACATTGCAGGAAAAATATTACTGGGTGAGGAATGACATTAGGCTTTCATTTGTAAATTATTCAGCGTGTGTGATGTGTGTGTGTGTGTGTGTGTGTGTGTGTGTGTGTGTGTGTGTGTGTGTGTCTGGGCACACATGCCACAAGGCATGTGTAGAGGTCAGAGGATAACTGGCAGAAGTTGGTTCTCTCCTTCTACCGAGTGGGTCCTGGGGGTTTACCCAGGTTGTCCCTCAGCTTGGCAGCCTTTCCCTGCTGAGTCCTTTCTCCAAAACTCAAAAGGGACCAACAGGTGTCTAGTAAAAGTAATTTTCCTTCCTCTCCTCTCTTTTCCCACCAAGGCTTCTTCTGCTGAGCCAGCAGCTGCTATATTTCTTCTTGGTCCTACTTCCGGTCTTCTGGGACCAGCTTTTCAACGTGAATACACATTTATTTGCCAGAGCAATGTAATTCCCTGAATGCCTCCTACGTCCAGGCCTTCTGTCCTGGGCTGCCACTGCCTTCAGCAGGCTCACTGTTTTGAGCCTAGGGGCTGTGTTCTGTGCTTTCCCCTCTATTAGCATTTAGCTAATAGAAATAAGTGTATGTTAGGCACCAACTGTATACTCAGTGCTACTCATTCTGAGTGCTGACAGAGGTCTAAGCCCTTTTTTCTTTTTTTAAACACCTGTCATAATTATTGTGTTGAATTATTTTTTCTGGCCAAAGCAGCTATCTTGCTTCCCGGTAGACGCAGTATGTACATTCTGCACGTAGAAAAAGGCCAAGCCATGCACCCAACTCTTCTATAGTGTGGCCCTGCGCAGAACCCGGCAAGCGAGAGTCTAGAGGGCACCAGGAGCTACCAGGAGGACTCCACAACGCCGGGCCTGTGTGTGTTCTGGGACTGGTTTCCTTCTCTGAAGCTCCTTAGCCTGTTAGCTCGCTAATGGCCCTGCCCAAAGGGTGCTTAGTCATCTCCCATGAAGCCTTGCTTCTTCTGATCTCCTTCTCTAGCTTGTAAACTCCAGTTACTCAACAGGGAACCGAGAATGGCCCAAGGGCTCCTAGGCCCCTTCCTGCTTTTCCCCCATTGTTCTTTGGGAGGTCTCTAATGCTAGAAAACCACCTCACATGCTGCCAGAGTATTTACAACCCGGCCAGTGGCTGTAGAGCCTTCTTAATGGTGTGGCCATAAAATAAACTTCTAACCTATGGTGTGGTTACGCAAATGAGGACATTATGGATGTTGACACCTTCAGAAAAAGAGTCCTGATCAGAACTGTGACTCCCTGTTCTTTCTTTCCAAACGTTAAATATTTGGGCAAAGGAAGCAGAGGAAGGATGTCCTCATTTAGGAGCAGCTGTTATTATTTCCATCTCCTGGTGGAAGATCAAGAGAAGTAAGTAGGCTGTGGAACCCCGTAGCGAGTGCGACCAGGGCCTGCTGGACTCCACAGCCTGGCTTCTCTCTGGTGCATCATGGATTTCACTGACTGAGCTAGAACGATGGAATCTGTGCTCTGGATAACTGAGAAATCCGTTTTCAGGTTAGCTGAAGGTTCTGATGGATGAACTTCCGAATCAGATTAAGGCTAGGAAAGAAGGTGGGGCCGCAGAACCTCGGAGGGACACAGTTGTTGAGGGGTCTCGTCAGGCCGGGTGTGGTGAAGCGGCTCCCAACTGCACCCTCAGCTCTGCTTGCTTCTGGCTACTAAGCCTTGTGGCTTTCATTTGCATTTCCCAGATGACTAATGCACTTGAACATCTTTTTTTTTTTTTTTTTTTTTTTTTTTTGGTTTTTCGAGACAGGGTTCCTCTGCATAGCTTTGCGCCTTTCCTGGATCTCGCTCTGTAGACCAGGCTGGCCTCGAACTCACAGAGATCCGCCTGCCTCTGCCTCCCGAGTGCTGGGATTAAAGGCGTGCGCCACCACTGCCCGGCGGGCGTACTTGAACATCTTATAGATATTTAATCATTGCTAGTTCCTTTCATCTTCCTGTCTTTTTGTCCCCAACTCCCAGGACCCAGGGAAAGTGCCACCTAGAACAATGCCAGAGTCCCCGGGGACCTAGACTTCTCTGGTTGACAGTTATTTAAGACAGTCTCTGTCTCCTCTGCTCCTGTAGCTCCTCTGCCTCTCTTGCCAGTCTCGTGGTTCAGCCTTCCATCCTCGAGGACCTGACTCTCCCGCCAGACTGGTGGACTCCAGCTTCTCTCTGCCACCTCTTGAAGCTTTGCAGACACTGTTCCCTCTCTGTCCTGGGCACTACACGCCTCTTCCTTCTCTCAACCTTGCACATTTTACCTGGGTAACTGAGGTATCAAGGCAGTCTAGGATCACATGCTGTTTCCTCCAGGAAGCCTTACTTGACACGTCCCCCTCCCCCACTCAGCAGTCTGGGTTAGTTGTCCCTTGTTTGTGGCTTAGCAACATCCTGTACTTCCTCTCCTAGCACTTATCACAGGCTGTTGCAATCGCCTGTTTGCTGCTAGCCTGCTGCTCTTATACCTACCCTCCTGTTTGCAGACTGGACTGTGCGAGCCTCACTTTTATATCACAAAGCTTAGGGCAGCAGTGATGTTTGTTTAATGATCTGGTCCAGATCCCTTTAAAATAATAAAAAAAAAAAATCTATAAAACCAGGCGTGGTACTCTGGAGGTGGAGATGGGAGGATCATAAGTTCAAGGTCATTCTTGGCTACATAGTAAGTCTAGCTTGGGAGATATAATACGCTGTCTAAAAAGAGAAAAAAAAAAAAAGGATGAGATTGTCTCGAAGGCAGGGGAAATGGGGTTGCTAGTGAGGTGGCTCAGTGGTAAAGAGCACTGGCTACTCTTCCAGAGGACCCAGGTTCGACTCCTTGTACCCACAAGGCAGCTCCAGTGCCAGAGGATCCAAATCCTGGCCTGCAAAGGCCCTGCATGCACATGGTGTATAAATACACATTCAGGCAAAACACCCATATAATAAAGAAAAAATAAATAAGATCTCCAATAAAGAGCAAAAATAAAAATATAACCTTCTGTGCCAGCTATAATTAAAGCAGTGGTTTCAGGCCGCTGTCCCCCCACCCCAGCCCTCCCACACAATCCTCCTGACAAGGTCGGCAGGAAACAGACTTCTACACTACCCACCACACAGGTGTCATTCACAGTCAGAAGCTTCAAAGTTCTCAGCCTAGATGGAGCTTTGAAACTCGGGGGCTCTCGCGCAGTTGGGCAATTCATGATTGGG